ATATTTGAACTATTATAATTTTGTAAGAAAAGGAAAACGAAAGAGAAACCTGAGCTCATTTTAAAATTCTGAAGATTCTACACGCTCAAAATATATATCGTACATTTTAAAATGTTTTCACATCATGAACGTAGCGGATGTAACTGATTGATTCATTGACATTCAGCTTTCATCACTTTGATGAACTTTATTTGCTAAATACCTTAATTTACACTATATCGTAAAAATTGTAAAGATATTTATAAATATGATATTTATAACACTGATAATATGTTAATTGTGGAAATATTTCGAGATACAAATTAAGAAACAAATTAGCGAAAATAGAGAATGACTAGAAAATCGAATAGTTAGATTAGAAGTTGAGATTTTATTTTATCGTCGAGTTGACTCGCTTGACGAGTTCTAAGAATTCGAGAAAAACTTTGACTCGTTGAGAAAATTGCGTGAAAAGAAAATCTTTGGTCACGTTTTCTTTCGCAGTGTGTGTCAGTTTTGACTCATCGACGATTCCTAAAGTCAAACAGTTGAACTCGCGAAAGTTATTGTTCAAATTTCATTTCAACGTCATCAGTGGATCAAAAATTTCATTTCAGAGATTCATTCTTCTACGAAATTTCATTCCCTGAAGAAATTGTCAAATGTCACTGTTAACGAATCGAAAATTTCATTCTACTTTCATGAAATTTTATTTTATTCCACGAAGATGTTAAATCGAACTCTCTGCGCAATGAAATCAAAATTCTATCGACACTTTACGATCTTGCCAATTCACGATCAGTTGAGAAAGCTACTAAAAATTGGAACTCGAGAATGAAATGAAATTGTTGAAACCGTTCGATTTCGAGGATTGTTGATGAGCTAAAAACAACGGTTTATGAAAGATGAAAGATGCGACTTCCTGCAGTCTCGTTCCCTTTGTATTTTTCTCTCGACACCGAGTCGAGTCTAACTCGATAACTAGAAACGATATTAATTCAAGGAAACTAGAAACTAGATATTAATTCAGCGCGCAAGGGGGTTAAGAACACTCGGCTGAAGAAAACAATCCGACTTAGGCAAATAATATCGGGCCAGGGACCAAGTCACACGGGTTAACAATAGCAAGATGCCACTTTGTGAAAATGGCGGTCTTAAGTTCCAGCGCTTATTAACGCAAAGTATAGCGCGCGCGTTACCTCCCGTCGATGCTCGTTACGATCCTTGTTCACGTAGGTGGTGCACTTAAACGGCACGTAAAGTTCAGTTAAAATAGCACACGACGAACGCCGAACTTTCTTGCGGCCCGATCAGATCTGATTTCAGGGCTGAATTTAGGTGGCCGATTCTGCACGACGTTGTTTTCGTGAAACGATAGCTTATCCGTGGCTGTTTCCAACGAAATCGAGAAACACGATGACGCTACCCCCTCTGTTCTCGAATGAAAACGCCGTCATCAACCCCGTTAACGTTAATCTCGCCTGATGCCACGAGCCACGTAACGAACATATTACGCGCGATGATCATGCTTATGACTGGCCAATCGCGCGGTACTATCAATTGCGGTGAAATCGTTTGCGGTTGACCTGGCTGAACTAACGCTTGATTCTATCGATCAAGAATCTTCGTTTCACGCTTTGCTCGTCTTTCGTTTGTTACGTACTTTCATTTGGCAAGAATGATCACGGTAGTAAAAATTTTGAATGAAAATTTAGTACACATGAGATAATGCAACCTTTCTGAAACTCTGAGCAGCTACTAGACTCCGAATTTTTATGCAATTTTGTACTTTTATACGAATAGTGTTCCAAAGAAATGGAACCTATGTAGAGATTTTTTTGGTGCACAAGATAATTTGTAACCTGTCGGCACTTGGTAGCTAGTGGATTGCGGATTTTTATACAATTTCGTCATTTTTAAAGAAACGTGGAGGTTCCATTCAAAACGAGTACAATGAAGTTTCGATGTTTCTGTGAATTTTCACACGTTTAAATTTCTCAGAAATGTCATCTTCTTAAAGAAGATCTAAGACCCAAAACTTGGAATTAAAGACAGATGTAACAAAGATATTATTGTTTCTTGAAACTATAAGTATTTCAGTAAAATTACAATTAATATATCCGATCACAAATTTATCGCAATTTCAGAATATTTCCTTAGTCATCGATCGAATGAATCGAAGAAAATGAAAATTGTTAGAATTACTCTAGAATTATTCACTTTGAGTTCAATTAAATTTATCTTGGAATAACTGAGAATATTATTGGAATTCGTACACACATCGATTTTCAAATTAATCTGCAAGGAAGAGAAATTGTTAGGTTGTTGCAGATGAAACGGCAAATCGTAATATAACTTTCAACATTTTAAAAATGGCACTAATTTTTAATAGAATCGTTCACGTTCGAGGAGAGAGATTGAAAAAGAGGAAAAATTATGATAAATATACGTTTCTATGATATTTAACCAAGTTCCTCTTATTTGATTACACTAACATTAAATTTTTAATGTTTACCAATTCAGATGATTCACAAAAACACGCATTGATAAAAATGTTGAAATATCAGAACAGAATGGTTGCATTGCTGGGATTAATTATTCCTGCGTCGATTATATAAGCTTCAATTGTTCATTGTTAGCCATCTGGACATTAATTGCCTACAGTGCAGATGCTAATTAGCATTCTATCGTATGATTATTTCATTCGAATCGCAGACTGCCTTCTAACAAAAAACAACGCACGCTTGACTTTGATTCTTCTAAAATTTACTAATATTTTTTTACTTAAATTTTAGATCGAGGCAAACTTGTGAATTGTCTGTTACACACAATACAGTACACTGAACAATATACGTAGATACAACCTAAAAAAAACTATTAATTTTCTAATTGAAAGCATATAGCTATGTATGAACATCCGCAGTCTACTGATGATGTGATTTAACATTTAACTTCGAATAAATATTCTACTGAATCCCTTGTCCTATGTATACAAATAACAAATATAATATATTAAATATACAGTTCTATTTAATTTTCTTTATCTAGATTCTACTTCTCGAATTATCCTCATAAATTACACGAACATCCATTAAATTAAAGATCTATAATCTATAATCTGCTATTTCTTATTGCCCACAATCTAATATTTCGTCACGATTAAAAATATCGTTCAACTTCTCATCAGACACTTCAAAGAAACACAAAGACCTCGTTCAATGTGAATGTTCTCCGTTGCAGTGCTGCGAGAGACAATCGGCGGCCGACGGGAACCAGGACGAGAGCACGTACGGCGCGCTTTCGTGCCCGGTGACACCGAACTCCGGTCCTGGACCACCTCCGACCTACGACAGCCTGATCTTCGACTCGAGGAGCTTGCCCAGTTCCATCGACAAGAAGCCCGAGGGCGTGGAAACGCCGGGCACCATAATTCCTTCCATGGTGTCCACGTTGCTCGGCTTGAGCACCGCGGTGAGACGGACGGAACGCAACGAGGTCACGGAACAAGAAATCTCCGACGAAGGATTGCCTTCGTACGAAGCCGCCTTGAAGCTGGACGCAAACGGCTACGTCTAACGTTGTTCGACTATTCCGCGTGGAGGAACCGACATTTGTAATTTTAAGAGGGTTTTAGTCGACGTTGCAACCGTGGTGTTACAATGCGATGAGAAAAGAATGTTCTTCTCCTATTTTTATTTGTGGCAAATCGAGATCCCGAGGAGTCTCGGGAATTGAACAAGTGTTCGCAGGTCACTTTCGAGAAGGACTTGTTACTGACTCAGTGTTGGCACTGTTAGTTGAATACTGTCAGGCCTGGTTGGTCCGACCGACACGCCTCTGATCCCGAAGAATTTCACCATTCCTCGAATCGGCCGCGTTTCTTCGCACGCCCGCTGTCTCCAAGCCGAGCAAAGAGATTCCGAGAGGAGAGATCGATAAATCAGGACGAAGGAAGTTAAGTCCGTTTCTCAGTTCCTTCGTGCGTGCAGCTGTTCTTGGCGTTAGAAAGAAGCTGCTTCGACGGATGAACACATGTCCATACGTGCAAAACCGAGGAAGACAGAGAAACTTGAAGCGGAGATTCCAAGGATTTTGCTCTGGCGAAACGCTTCAAAGAGTCTACCTATCTGATAAACGAGATCTGTGGACGAGATGTTTCTCAAAAAGAACCAAAGAACACAATTGGAACGA